TTAGTAGTTTTTATAACATGTAATATAATTTTCAAATCATGTACTTTATTAATTGTACACCTTAATTGAATGTATGCGATCATTCTATCAATTTGATCAAGTGTTTCTACATAGAATTGTGAGAAATAAAAATAAAATGTAATCACAGTTAAAATCCCAATAAAATAAAATAAAAGTATTTTTTTTTAAACTCAAGCTTAGAAATTTTAATAGAGAGGTGTGGATAAATTTCAGAGATGACATGGATAAGATCATACAAAATCATAAGATAAATTTTTTATTAATATATTTATTTTATTTTTTAAAATAATAATTTTATAAATGTTTTAAAATCAATTAGATACATATTTTAATAAAAAAATCATTTCTATCATTCTCATGATATCCAGTAAATCACAAATACCTTATTCTCAATAAAATACTGACAAATGAGACATTTTTATATATTATTAGATTCTTGTATTATTACAAAACACTATAGATAAAATATTTAAATAATTGATAGGATAGATTAATTTGAGTCATTAACCTACGACATAAATTAAAGTCATTAACTTGCAATATAAATTAAAAAAATACTTAAAACATAAGTGAGAGCTCAGAAAAAGTAATCGAAATATCAATACAAAAGGGAAAATATATCTCATTTCTATATGGGTTGGAAGGTAGATTAACCTATTTATATCGAATAAATGTTTTGATATTGAAGAAATTGAAAAGATTAAAAAAATTATCATGAATAACATCACAAATCATATCTTACACAATAAAAACATTTAAGTAGGGTACCGTTTTATTTTTAATATAATTGACTATAGTAGTTATACTCAATAGTTGTAAATTATTGGTTTGTTATAAATATCATAGTAAATAGGTTTAAATAATTTAAAATTTTAAAAATGTTACACATAAAATTATTTAGTTATAATGCTTTTAAATAAATTAGTTATAACTAGCTCTAGTAATACAAAAAAGTTACACATTAAATTAATTAGTTATAATTCTTTAAATAAAATATTATTTGAATTATTGATTTATATAAATTATATGAAACTTTTTAAAGATTACACATCAATATCAATATCAATATAAGTGTAGTTTAATAATTTTTTTTAATAAAAAAGATATTCATTCATTCAAATTGATAGAATACATCGAATAATATTAAATCAAAATTGCTATAAACTGAAAAAGATGAATCCGCGAACAAACTCACATCACCCATCCTATAACGATAAAATGCCTACAAATATGACAAAGCTTACAAATATGACGAAATTGAAATGCTCGAAATATCCATGTCTCTGAGTCTGCAGCGTTGACGACGTCAAAGTTATTGATTGAATTTACACTAAGTCGAAATTAATCTGTCAATCTGAACCGAACAAATACCACACCAAGATAGGAAAACAAAATAATAGCGCAAGAAGATTTGCACTAAGACCACGAAATCACAAAAAAAAAACTAAAAATATATGACGCTGCACTAAGACCACGAAATCACAAAAAAAAAACTAAAAATATATGTGAAATCACTTATTTGAATGAAAAGAAAAGGAAAAAGATTTCAGATGGGTGATTTTGAATTAAAAATTAACCCTAAAATCACCCCCTCTTTAATGAATGAAGAAAAAGAGAAAACTAGAATTAAAGAATAAAAGAGTGATCAACTTGAAAACATTTAATAGTAATATTTACAAAATAACTAACAATAATAAAAAAAAATACAAAATATTTATATTTTATAAATTTGAGAAAATATCACTATGTAATTATTATTAATATTTTATTTATTTAGAAATCAAAAGGTCATATTTATTTTGGAAAAAAAAACAATTTTTTTAAAAAGAGACAATTATATTGACTCTAATCAGTTTTTAGAATTAATTAGTTATATAAAATGAAAAATTATTCAAAATATTTTAATTATTATTTCTTATTAATCATTAAATTCATAATAAATATAAGAAATTTCAATTATTTATTTAATGTTTAATCTATAATTTAAAATTTTAAGAATGTTTTTTATTCAATGTCAAGTCCAAAAAATTTTAAAATCATATTTTCTCTAGACATTTTTTAAGTTTTTTAAAATCATATTATATCTTACCATATTAAACGTTATAATTACAAAAAATTATAATTATAATATTAAAGAGAATAATTAAAAGAGAATAATTAAAATAAATTAAAAGAGCTTAATTTTTTAATATTATAAAGGAATTTAATAGAGGTGTGAATAAATTTCAAAGATGACATGAGAAAGATCATAAAAAATCATAAGATACATTTTTATTAACATGTTTATTTTATTTTTTAAAATAGTAATTTTATAAACATTTTAAAATCAATTAGATACATATTTTAATAGTAAAAATATTCATTTTTATCATTCTCATGATATCAAGTGAATCACAAATATCCGGTTTTAATATAATATTGACAAATGAGATATTTATTGTATTATTAGATTCTTCTCACGCTTCATTTTTTTATTGAAGATCTCAAATAATTAAATAAATAAATTTAAATCAAATATATATTTCTCTCAAAGATTACTGTTAAAAATATATTTACACGAGCTGCAATTTTTCTCATGATTTTCAAGTAATAAGGATGCAAAAATAGAAATAATAGGAGTTTTCTTTATCCTCATCTTTTCACATAACAAAAATAGTTATATTCAATTAAACAATAAAAAGAGGAGAAAATCATAAAAGTCTATAATGAAATATTATATTGATGTTCAAAACATATTATTACAAAATACCATAGATACAATATTTAAATAATTGATAGGATAGATTAAGTTGAGTCATTAACCTACAACATAAATCCAAGTCATTAGCTTACAACATAAATTAAAAAAATAGTTAAAACATAAGTGAAAACTCAGGAAAAATAATCGAAATATCAATACAAAATGAAAAGTATATCTCACGTATATCTCACTTCTATATGAGTTGGGTGATAGATGTAACTTATTTATATTGAATAAAAGTTTTCATATTGAAGAAATTAAAAAGATTAAAAAAATTATCATATTGATTAACATCAAAAATTATATTTTACACAAAATATTTCATGGGGTAACGTTTTATTTTCAGTATAATTTATTATAGATGTTAGACTCATTAGTTATAAATTATTGGTCTATTATAAATATAATAGAAAATAAGATTAATTATATTTAAAATTCTAAAAACGCTACACATAAAATTATTAGTTATAATGATTTAAAACGAATTAGTTATAATGTTTTAAAATAAATTAGTTATAATATGCTCTAGTAATTAGTTATAATGCTTTAAATAAAATATCATTTAAATAATTAATTTATATAAATTGTATGAAATTTTTTAAAGATTACACATCAATATCAATATAAGTGTAATTTAAAATTTTAAAACGATATATTTTACGTAAATAGTAATCTTTTCAAAATAACTAACAATAATAAAAAAATTATATAAAATATTTATATTTTATAAATTTGAGAAAATATCACTATATAATCATTATTAATATTTTATTTATTTAAAAATTAAAAGATCATATTTATTTTGAGAAAAAAATATCAATTTTTTGAAAAGAGACAACTGTATCAACTCTAATCAATTTATATAATTAATTAGTTATATAAAATGAAAAGTTAGTCAAAATATTTTCAATATTATTTTTTATTAATCTTTAAATTCATAATACATATAATAATAGATCAATCTAAATTTCAATTATTCATTTAGTGTTTAATCTATAATTTAAAAATTTAAGAATGTTTTTTATTCAATGTCAAGTCTAAAAAAAGTTTTAAATCATATATTTTGTAGACATTATTAAAAAATTAAAAAATTATATTATATCTTACTATATTGAAACTTATAATTACAAAAAAAATATAATTTTAATATTAAAGAGAATAATTAAAAAATAATTAAAAGAGCATAATTTTTTAACATTGTAAAGGAATTTAATAAAAAGAATGTTAAATGGGATATAAATTATAAAAAATGTATGACATATTTATTTGACATTTTTGTTAAGCAAAATTTATTTGATATTTATATTTAAAATAAATAAATATTTCTATAAAATATTAAAAACTTGAAAAGTTTGGTTTTGATTGAGAAGTTTTATGAGATTGCCACATTATCATAATTTATTTGATATTTACATTTAAAATAAATATATATTTATAATAATAATAATAACTATTATTATTATTATTATTATTATTATTATTATTATTATTATTATTATTATTATTATTATTATTATTTTACTATTATTATTAGCTAGATATTATATTATTATTATTATTATTATTATTATTATTATTATTATTATTATTATTATTATTATTAATAGTGGTAGTTTAATATTATTATACTATTATTATTATTATTATTATTTATTTTAATATCATTATTAATTGTGATATTGAATTGGAGTTGGTGTGAAGAATTAAAAAAAGAGTGATAAAAATTCCAAATTCTAATATGATGCTACATAAGAATTAGGATTAAGGTTGTGTCCAAGGTTGTCGTCATGACATTCATGGATTTTGGATTTAGATTAAGTAGAGTAGATGATCCTAGGTGATTTCAACATACAGAAAGCTAAAAAGTTAAATCAATTATCTAACTATTACTAAAGGATTGGCCAAACTGACTAAAATAGCCATTGCAACAAATTAATTTACAAAGAGCTAAGGGTATTTCAGTAATCAACAAAATGGCATTCCACTTTTCAACTTTTCATTAACCATGCGCCAATTGTTGGTCTCTCATTGGTCCAAATTAAAATAAACTTTTTCCCTTCAACCCAACCTTACACATAACTTTTCTCTTTCTCTCTTTTGTTGTCATAACGTTTTCCCTCTCTCTCTCTCTCTCTCTCTCTCTCTCTCTCTCTCTCTCTCTCTCTCTCTCTTGTCTCCCCTATCTTTTCCATTAAACTCTAGCGGTCGTCGCCCCTTTCTCTGGCCACCAATACCTTAAATGTTAAAAATAAATCTATTTTTGTATTCCTCATCTCATGGGCTTTTTAATGAACCGGTTGGATTTTTATTTCAACTGATCTCACCGTCGAGCACTGCCTCTCCTTCTCTGACCGTCACTACTCATCATCGCCATCGTCATCACCATTGTAGGAGAAAGTCAGTGTGTCTCTATTTTAAGATAGATTTTGCTTTTTATTTTTTTCTTTTGGTTTTTTCGATTTTATGGTTTTGATTTTTCTGATATTTCATTGTGTTTCACTTTGGATCTGTTTAATCATTGATTCATTTTTATTATGGATCTGTAGAAATCTGATATTGATTTGGTTGTGTTTGTTGTTATTGCAAGGTACATATTCAAAATGTCTCAATCTTTACTCCTCTAGAATCCCCTTATACTGTTGGAATATAATACCAGGTTAGTTGTAACACCCCGTTTTATTTAATATTATATTATATTAATTTTTTTGAATTACCGTTTGACGTTTATTTTTGCGACGGGAATATTTATATTAACCGGTATATCTGTTAATATATTCGGCGACGTTTTATTCGGACCGATAATTATTTTATTCGGTCTGGTATTTATTTTGAGGGACCGATAATTATTTTGTTCGGTTCGGTTTTTATTCCGTTCGGTTCGGTAAAATATTATTCGGAGTTATTTTAATTATTTGGAGTTATTTTAATTATTTGGGTTAATAATATTATTTAGTATTATTAGTGTTATAATTACTAGTAAGACCAAGGGCTTTTTGGGTATATTGCTAGCTTATATCTTGTTCTAAGCAAACCAAACACTTGTTTTATGTCATAAAACAAAAACACACTTAGAGAAGAGAAAGAGGAGTCTTAGAAGAGAAGAGGAAACAAGAACACAAGAGCAAGCTAGGGTTGATTTTGTGGAAACATCAAGAATCATTCAAGCATTTAAGGTAAGGGGTTTGATTTTTTCCAATGCTTATAGTTAGGGTGTGATTTGGTATATTTTGGATTTGGGGAAAAATTGATGTTAGGGTTTTTGAGTTTTGTTGAGATAGAAACTAGAAGAGTTAATTAGGTGTTGTTGTTGTTGTTGAATTAGTATTGGGTTAATTGAAATTAGAATGAAATAATAAACTAGTAGTTAATTGTTAAGAACTAAATATGCTATATAGTTTTGAAACAAACAAGAAACTTGCAATATGTTATTAATGGAGTAGCTTATAAAAACAAAAGGAATGAAATAGCTGTATAGTTAGAAGAAAAAAAAACAAAGAGAAAGAATAGTAGAATAGTTGTGATAAAACAAAACACAAGTATAGCATAATGTTCTTTCATTTAGTTAACAAAAAGAAACTTGCAGTATAATTATTAATTAAGTTTAGTTTTGAAAATATGCAGTGAAATTTCTAATAAACTAACAGTACTACATTTCAATAGCATAGCAGTATAACGTAATAGCAGTAAATTTTAGTAACTTAAAACTAGTAGTATTTCATTAAAGTGAGTTAAAAAAATTATTTAATTATCTTTTGTTTTTCTTTCTTTATTTATTTAGTATATTAAATATTTATATTAATTAAATATAATTATGACATAAGTTAGCCGATTTAATTTGAAACCCGATTATGTTTCAATTTCCCAATTTCGGCAATTTCGATGACGGAGTAAGTTGCTCCGAATTTAACGAAAATTGACGTGCTAGCTAATTTTGACGTGTAGAACGTCGTGGTGAGGTTAATTTTTTGAGATTACAAGTTTTTAACGGAGCGACCCGAAATAAGTCAATTTACGGTTAAGTTGAACCGGGTTGCGTTTTAGTCGGTTTAAGTCGCGTATGGATATTCCGATTTCGACGTTAATGTTTTTAATTGATGCCGATTATTATGAATGACTTTCGCGACGGTTATTGATGTTTGACTATTTTTCCGTGTTTGAAATTTAGTGGATTATTTGATAATGAAGTGGTGTGATTAAATATGATGTTTGCGACGGTTTATTTATAATGAATACTTGATGATATGCGATGCGATGATATGTTTATCTTGATGTGGATAAATATGGCGACATGGGTTTTATACTAATTTTGACGTGCGATGATGATGTTTTGTTGTGTCGTGTTTGTGATGTCGTGTTGTCGAGTCACATATATTGCATTGGCGACGAGGGCTTTTATGCCAAGCGACGAGGGCTTTTATGCCAAAGCGACGATGGGCTTTTATGCCGAATGTCCCTAATTATGGACAAAGCGACGGGTACCACATGCATAACATAGTCGTGTCTCATAGAGTCGGTTATGTTTATGTTTGAGTCTTTTGGCGTTGAGTTTTATTTGATGGCTTATGACGAATTGCGATGTTATATGATACTTTGTTTGTGATGGTTTTTGTGTTGAACATAAAGTGAATATATGTGATGATCTCATGATGAGTAAGCGATGAATACAACATGACGGTAAAGCGACGATATGAGTTATGGCGATGGAGTTTATGTTTTATTTTGATATGATTATGGTGATTATGTGATGAAATTAAAGTGTTGATTTTATGCACTAAATGATGATTTTAAAGTATGTGAGATTTTGATATTTGTTGACATATTCTTATTAATCCTATATCATTTATGATTCCAAAACTATTTATATATTTTATCATGCCTTTAATTATATGTTTTGGAGTATCTCACCCTTTACTTGTTTCGCCGTTGCCTTTATATTGGTAACGTGCAGGTGATCCGCGAGGATGATGAGGATTAGCTTGAGTCTCTTTATTTTGAGTCGCTCTGCTCTGATAGTAGTAACACTCGGGATTTGGGCGACATTATTATTTTGATAGGATAGTTTATATATACTATCTTATGACTTTATGTATTGATGATAACATGATGATACATTCATTTTGTGAACATATCCGCTGTGCTGTGATTAGTCATATGTTTATATGATGACTTATGTTATGAATCGGTATATCCGACTTTTGATTTTGTGATGTGCATTATAATGCAAAGTGGTGAAAAACACGAATATGTGATACCTCAATTTATGTTTGGATGAAATTTTGAAACTCTGATTTTATTATTAATTACGAGGGGTAGAATTGGGGTGTTACATTAGTAACATATGATAAATAATTTGATAGTGAATTTTTTTATTTTTAAAATTTTTACTTCTATTTTAAGAGATGAGATAGAGAAACAAAGAGATCATGAGCTCTACATGAAACTTCAAGAGAAAGAAAAAATAAAACAATCAAGGAAAGATCTGGGTACGAGTTTCTCTCGAACCAAATAGGAACTTACTGTATCGTTTTCTTGAAGTTATTAAACTATGTGAGATTTGAATTCCTCTAACGTTCTATATCCTTGTCTTTCATATCATTTAGCTCTGATACAACAAGAAAGAGTTGAAGCTGCCAAAAAGCGAGAAGAAGAGAGATTGGGTACGTTTCGGATAATTTTTTCCTTTTTTGACATGCCCTGAAAAAATGAAGTTCGCACTGATAATTATACCTTTTGTTTCAGCCAAAGAACAGAGGAATATTTGTAGTAGCTATATTTTAACATTTTATATGTCCATTCCCTTTATATTGAATTTGAACATTCCATGTTGGTGGCCTCTTTCTCTTCACTTAATGACTTGAACCTTAAGTTTTATGTTTTATTTCTTCTTATGTGGCTCTACTAGGTTTCAAGATCTATTATGTTTCTGTTGATTTGAAAATACTTGATTTTTTGTTGTCTTGGTGGATGTGATTTAAAGAGTATTCCTGATGTAAGCATATTTTAGAGGCTTATGGTTTTTGATGTTTCTTTCAATGAAATTGCTTCGCTTCATGGTGTATCTAGGGTTTGTAATACACCCAAGGAGCTCTATGTATCCAAAAATAAAGATACTAAAATTGAGGAGATCAGTCACTTTCATCAATTGCAGCTTTTGGAACTTGACTCCAACAAATTATGGGTTAATTAGTTTATTATATTGTGCGTGTCAATGTGACGGCATTAAATAAATGTTTAGGTTAAAGAGTTTTAGCATGTTTTGACATTTTAACAATTTCAATACAACATTTAACACTTCTTTGTTAACATTTTGTTCTTCATTTTATTTAATAAATGGTTAAAACCATCTTACTATATCGATGATTTTTGTAGTTAGTTGGTTGGAAGATGCAAGGCAGCATGCAAATGCGAATATGACAATTATGCTGATTGGAAACAAGTGTGATCTTTCTAACAGACGGTTCGTAAGCACTAAAGAAGGTGAAAAGTTTGCAAAGGAGGATTTAATTCTGCCTATATGTAAAAACATGTCTTTATTTTATCTTAGCATATGCATTTCATGTTTAATGGATTTCTTTTTCTATGTGATTTACATCACAGATCCCTTCGCAACTTAAGAAGCGTTGTTACCAACGAACGAGCTTAAGAAGTGATTTGAAGGGACTACTGTGAAAAAATCTGGGAAGAACGAAACTGCAATAGAGAAAATCTTTGAGAGCTTGAATCTGAAGGGACGAAGATACAAAGAAGAACGCGAGATCCGTTTTGTTGTTGAAGACGAAGAAGGAACGGTTAGGGTTTCAATATCGGAAACCCTAACCGACGTTGACCACCTTGTTGTCTACCACCATCTTCAACCTCAAACTCTCAGCAACCTGCCAAACACATAAAGAAGAAGATCAGAAGAAAGAATCAGACCAAGGATAAGAGTTTCACGGCGGAGAATAGGTTATTTTTGCATTTAGATTTTACGATTTCGTTGCGATTGATATTGTGGTAATATTGTTTGGGATCTGAAACTAGGGTTAAAGGTTTGTAGCGCCGCGGTTGGGGGCGTCGTTAGGGTTTGATGAGTGAAGGAAAGGGTATAACGAAAGAGAGAGAGGACTGTAAGTTGTAAAGAAAAATTAAATGTAAAATTAAAACAAAATGTTAACATTTTGTTTCCCTACGCGTTCGCATACTGTAATTATCATACTCGCTCGTTATCATCCGCTAGATCATGATCGGACGGCCGTAGGCCAAGTCCCATCATAACTTCCATGCTCCATCATCCACGTAATCAAACTGGCCCTTCAATTCACGTTTGGGCCTAAGCCCGTTTACTTTTCACGCCACCCTTGGCCTTAATTGCTAAAACACAAAACAATTTACAACTCCCCATGTCTAGGATTCATGTTAGGCCTAGCCCTGCATGGTTTTTAACACCCATCTGTTTTACTTACTAACTTAAAACTACACCCCCTTGGAATTGACTAAATTATTTTCTATTTCTTACATAATGCTTATATTTTCTTATTTTTCTTTTTATACTATTTACCTATTTTTATTTATAATTATTATTATATTATTATCATCATTATTTATTTTTTTATATATAATAATAATTATTTATAATATTTATTATCATATTATTATTTATTACATATAAATATTATTTATATTATCATAAATAATTATTTTATTTAAAAACTCATGAACATATTTTCTATATATTTTCATTAAATATTTTTATATCATGCATTAATTAGAAATTTCGCAATTGACATTGTAAAAAATATACAACAAATCTCAAACTATTTTTCGCAATCAACTAAGCTAAACAACATTCTTTTTGCAAAAGGGTTTCAAACGAATTTTGACTAATCGTGCATTTAGCCAAAATCTCTGCAATCATTACAACCGGTCAAAATGTGAGGCGATTCAAAATACATTTGCAACCCCTAAAAAACATCAACCCCATACGAACTATGAATTGGGACTCTGATTCCTCATAAGAGGATACGTAGGCATACGATAAAAAATCGTGGCGAGTTCCCTTATTAAAACTTAAAACCTTGTTTCACCCAAACTTAAACCTAAATCCAATATCCTTAGGAATAAGGTAGATGAAAGGTTCCTAACACCTTCCTTTCGTCTAGGACCGAGTTCAAAACCTAGAA